CTGGCATTACTAGGTACTTTGTTTAGACAGGAAAAGTGTGTGTCTACTTCAGCACTCTAACAATCCAGCATCTTTGGCTATTGTAAACTTCTGCAGATCTTTTATTACTGTTTCACATTATGTGGCATGAATGCGCTTCTTTATCCTGAGTTCTTGCTGTCAGCCTTGTTCTTGATATTAGTTCAAGTGCTATATCATGAGTGCCAATAATAACAAGCATCCTTGCTTGCCCCTTCCTGTCAGAGAAGGTGGGATGCTCTGGTATGCAGAGTTCCTGCTCATGCTGAGAGTTAGGACAGGGTACTCCCATGGCTTAAGTAATTGGAAATAAACAGAGAAATCTTTCTGAGTGGGAGAGATGAATGTTTCCACTCAGTTGTATAAGTTGTTCTGAAAATTTGGTGCCATATGTCCTGCAAAGTCAAAAATATTTACTATCTGGCTCTTTAGAGAAAAAGTCTGCTGACCCCCGAAATGTAGCTTTGCCGCCAGTGAGTATACATACTGTTAAGGTGATGTGTTTCAGATGGAACATTAAACTGAATGTATCACGAGATGTAATGCAGAAGAGATATGTCTTGCTACTAGTAATAGGTAAGAGGCAGATAACACAGTATATTGTTGAGTTAGCAATAAAGACAACACGCGTACTGAAATAGTTGAGGACTTCATCTCATAGGTCTATAACGTACTGCTGGCAGGGTAGCACACAGCTCTGCTCAATCATACAGTGCTGAAGGAGGATGAAATGAACAATGATACTGTTATGGACATTGTAAGACATTGTTATAACTGTAAAAATGACTGTGTTATAATTACTTCTGATTTAGCCAATGTTGTTTCTTAATCCCATTAAGTGTATTTAAATCCCTTCAAGTGTGCTGGCAAAAAAACCTGGCATTTAAAACTGAATTATAAATATAAAATAATGTTGAGAAGCCACTGTTTTAAACTATTATTTCAGTCCTCAACACTAATTCATCTGGACATTCGACTAATCCCAAATTCACCTCTGATCCAGAAAGTTCAGTGTACATTCATGAAAATAAAGAAGCTAAATTAAACCTAAACATGAAAAGTGTCTTTTTTCTTTCTTTTTTTTTTTTTCCCAAAGAGATGGGACTTATCCAAAGGAAATTATCCCAAACTAGTGAACTATGCCATGCTTTGGATCACAAATGCTTGAAGTATACCTGCCATCGAATATCTGAGAATCTAAAAGAACATGTCAGAAGGTCAGAAGGAGCTGAAATAGCATGTTTTTTTAGGAAAACTGAGACAAAAACCATTATGAAGTTTTTGTAGACTAGCCAAGAATGTTTGTGGGAAGAAAGAATAAAGGAATGTGCAGAGAGATTCAGGTCTTTCTCCAGCCCTCAAATACCAACCACGATTGCATTAGATTGGGAAGAGACTAAGAGAGGAAAAGAAGAAAGGGGAAAAAGAAGATAAATGGGAAAGGGACATGGGAAGGGCTTATGGGAGCAGCTTGCACTGCAAAAATGTATAGCTACTCAGAGCAACAGGAACACCCCACCCTTTCTTATTCCCACCCTTCCTCCCCCAAACCCCCACCCCTCATTAAGCATTGACTTTAGCAAGATAAGCTACTCTGAGAGAAACAAACTGAAGCCACTGAACTTCCTTGTCTTTCCCATCAAACATTCCCCAGCTAAATCCCTCAAAGAGACTGAGAAAACAAGCCTAGCATGGAAGTGAGTACGAGTACAGGGCGTGCCAGCAATCGCATAATTTAGCTTCTCAAAACAAAGCAAATCTTCACAGGCACAGACATGCAGATATGTTAAAAACCAAAAAGGAAAGAGAGAGAGACAGACAGACAGAGACAGAGAAGGAAAAAGAAAGAAAGAAGGAAAGAAAGGAAGGTCAAATGTATTAGTCATTAATTCTCCAGACTATTTTTCTCTACCTCCTAGTATGTTGGAAATCAAAGAGAAGTGCTTTAAAAAACAGCTCATGCGGGCCAGCCCCGTGGCTCAGTGGTTAAGTGCGCATGCTCCGCTACTGGCGGCCCGGGTTCGGAGCCCAGGCGCGCACCGACGCACTGCTTCTCCAGCCATGCTGAGGCCGAGTCCCACATACAGCAACTAGAAAGATGTGCAACTATGATGTACAACTATCTACTGGGGCTTTGGGGGAAAAAAGGAGGAGGATTGGCAATAGATGTTAGCTCAGAGCTGGTCTTCGTCAGCAAAAAGAGGAGGATTAGCACGGATGTTAGCTCAGGGCTGATCTTCCTCACAAAAAAACAAACAAACAAAAAAAAAACCAAACAGTTCATGGTCTATATCTAAAGCCGAGTCACACTATACAAAGAAGCGAAGAAAACTCACACTTAGAATTGATATGTGAGCCTATGGAAGAAGTCCACACAGAAATGTGATTGACCAAATTGGCTACAAAGGCTCACTGGTCTCCCAACTGCCTGGAGACAATTGTATTCTCTGAGTGAGTCAATCTGGCTAACACAGGTTATTTTAATCCTTGGTTTATACTCCCGTCTCCACTCCCAAATCTTCCCATACTGAACAGGGCTAGAGAAACAATGAGGCATTGGTAGGTATCATCAGCCATCAAAAGACAGAACTGGTGTCATAACAGTCCTATAACTGCTAGTTATCACAGCTTGACACCTGAAAGACAGGGCAACCTCTATAGAGACGATTTTTAATTTTGGTTAAAAATCCTGGTGAGCAGGAAGTCTAAGATGTGTTCTAAACTTCCTCCTTGGTCTGTTTCAAGTCACTTCCCATTTCCCCTTCTCCTGTCCCTATTTGTATGTCCCTGCCATATTTCTCCTTGCACCAAGTTCGTTTTTTTTTTTTTTTTTTAGTGAGGAAGATCAGCCCTGAGCTAACATCCGTTGCCAGTCTTCCTCTTTTTGCTGAGGAAGATTAGCCCTGAGCTAACATCTTTGCCCACCTTCTTCTATTTTGTATATGAGACGCCGCCACAGCATGGGTTGATGAGCAGTGTGTAGGTCCGCACCCGGGATCCAAACCTGTGAACTCTAGGACGCCAAAGTGGAGCACGCAAACTTAACCACTGTGCCACCGGGCCGGCACCCCGAAGTTCATTTTTATAGAAACTTTATTTAAAACGACTTGCATGGTTTCTAGAGCCATACTGGAAGATGCTATATAAATCTCACAGAAAGACTAATAATAGCGTAAGGGACAAGTTCCTCTATTTTCCCAACTTGCACAGTTATATTCAATAATTTAGTTCTCCCTTCCCCTAAATCTTCATTACACTTTATAGTAGTATCGCTGCTGTGACACAGTATTATTTGAGGGACAAGGAAAGGTGATTTGTAAGCAAGGCTAGAAGAGAGGCCTGGGCACTACCTATAGAAGAAGGTTGCTTAACTGCATCCTGTTAAATAATAGTCCATCTAGGAGATCACAGAATAAATCATTAGGGACATTAGTGTGCTCTGGGTAAAAAGCAAAAAAGCCCTGTCCTGGTTTCTGTCATCAAGCTATTATTTCTTTGCAAAGCATCTTTTTCTAGTGGTTAATAGAGAACTGGGACTTCTAATGCCAGCTAGGATGGAATAAGCCCACTTTATCCCATCTCTCCTTCTGATTACAACTAGAAACTCTGATCAAAATACAAGAAGCAACTACCTCTGGACAAAATACCATAGCAGGAGGATTAGTGAGGAAAATCAAAACTTGAAGAGAACCAGTAGGGCAGAGAAATCAAGGAGGCCTGAAGGCAGGAGAACATCATTATTAAATAAAGGGAAGAACTATCAACTCAGAATTCTATATACAACAAAAACATCCTTCAGGAATGAATGCAAAATAAAAGTCATTCTCAGATAAGGGAAAATAAAGAGATCACAATCCTAAGTCTTTATCCAAGTGAAACGAAAACCTACATTTACACAAAAACCTATATACAAATGCTTAGAACAGTTAAATTCATAATTGCTCCAAACTGGAAACAAACCATATGTTCTCCAACTGGGGAATGAATGCATGCACCAAGTGTGGTACATCCATACAGTGGAACACCAGTCAGCAATAAAAGGGAACAAATTATCGATACACACAACAACATGGCTGAATCTCAGATGCATTACTCTGAGTGAAAGAAACCAGACTCAAAAGGAGATACATTGTATGATTCCATTTACATAGCATCTGGAAAGGGCAAAGCTATAGGGATGGAGTGATTGGCAGGGGTTAAGGGTGGGGGAAGGGCTTGACTACAAAAGGAGAGCTACAGGGAATTGTTTTTTGCAACTGTTGTGTATTTTGAATGTGGTAGTAGTTACGTGTCTCTATGCATTTGTTAGAACTCATAAAACTGTAACCAAAAGACTGAACTTTACTGTCAATTTTATATATTAAAAAACAAATTAGAAATAGAGAACTTAAAATCTTGCTATATTTTTCCTAAGGAAACTTTTGACAATTCAGTTATTTAACTGTATATACTTACATATTCAGAAGCAGAAAACTGTATCCCCAACATAATGGCAGATGACCAAGCTTTACCTGAAACCTTTGTTATAAAACATTATTTGAAAATAGAATCTATTTGGTCTTCACACATTTGGGGGAAAGTCCAGAAACCAGAATAGAATAGCACCATATCATCAATGTATGAACTTGGACATAAATTTTTAAATTCTTGCCAGTTATATAAACCTTTCCAGTTCCATATTACGAACATGGTTATAGGGTAACAATATTTATTTTTGACCTGGTGTTTAAAATAAACAGACACTATCATAACTGTTGTAACAAAACATACACACACAATTATTATTAGTTTATTATTACTACTACTCCTGTTATAACTATTAAGGGGGAAAAATAAAATCATGCAATTAAACCATGGGCTCAGTCTTGCTTCTTCTAACAGCGACCTAACAAGTTTTTCCAGTGCCTGCCCTATTGATTTCTGCTCTGTGGGGAATGGCAGAGTAAAAATGTTTGCATGTTAAAGATTAAATTTTAACATACCCTGTCAAAGAGTGCAAAAAGCTGTCTCAAGACATCCGATACAGGCAACTTTAAATATTCTGCAAATTCTTCAATTCCAATTCTTCCTCCTTTTGAGGAACTTGCAATGGCTGCATATTCATCCAGATGCTTACGGATACCGTCCCAATCTAATCTAAACAAAGAATTATAAATACATGTGATTAGCCCTTTACAATCCACATGGACGTTGTATGAACGTTATTTTATTCATTTGTCTGAGGGAAAATATTTTAAGTGTTAAATTTGAGGAGGATAATAAAATGGATATTTTAAACTGCATATTGAACATGTATACAGACTTCTAATTTTTTTTTTTTTTAAGATGAGATGTTTTGTTGTTTTTTTTTTTTTGAGGAAGATTGGCGCTGTGCTAACATCTGTTGCCAATCTTCCTTTTTTTTTTTTTCTTTTTTCTCCCCAAAGCCCCAGTACATAGTTGGGTATCATAGTTGTAAAGTTGTGGCTATTCTATGTGGGACGCCGCGTCAGCATGGCTTGATGAACGGTGAGTAGGTCCGCGCCCAGGATCTGAAGCTGAGGACCCCGAGCTGCTGAGGCAGAACGCGCAAACTTAACCACTACGCCATCCAGCCGGCCCCCAAACTTCAAATTTTTTAAAGGTTATTAGTATAACTGTAATTATCTCAAATATCTGAGGGAAAGAAAAGTGAGAAGAAGGACAATGTGGCAGAATAATAAATGACTCATGAGAAGAAAATAAGCAATCACATTTTCCAGGAAATATTACTTAGTAAATCAATAGTACTTACTGAGTTAAAAAAATACAATTCTTGCTTTCAAGGAGCTTTCAGGATGACGATAAACTCACATTTCACAAAATGTTGTGAAATACAACAGCAAAACATTTTTGTTATCTAGAAGATATAACTGATATTTGCTCTATCAGTTATCAAAATATTATTTTTTAATATTGACCTTTAATACAGTAACTGGTTCTGCAGCTCCCTCCTAGGGAGGATGCCAAGGTCTATTAAATCAATGAATTCTGCAAATCCCTAATAGGGCTGAAAACAGAACGAACTGTAATAAGAGGGGCACTTGGGGGTTATACCTTTCATATCAGATAGTTCAAAGGGAATCTTCTAAATGTTTTAAACTAGATCATAAAAGCACAAAGGAGTGTTTTTGCCTTTTTTTAAAAATTACATACCCAGAAGAGAGAGGTAGATCTAGGGTTTAAGTATTTAAAATCCAGCGATGGTCAGAATCGCTACTTTATAAGTCAATTCATATTTCACATGAGAAGTGAAATATGCCAGTATAATCTAGTGATGCCATCCTTCTTGTAAGAAGGTAGCAGGACTGATTACTCTGAGACATTCCTGAGTAGGGAGGCAGATCTGTGCTGATCCACATTTACTTTCTCTTGGTCTCCTCCTGTGACCAATACACATATTTCTGAGTCAACTGTTCTTGAAAAAACAAAACTAGATGAACTAAATGGGAGATAAATTCACAACTCTGGCTTCTTTAATAAATACCACGTCGATTCTAGAGCTGAGCATTAATGAAACCAGAGAAAATAAACATACAGGATTTCGGATCTCTTTTGGACACCTTTATGATAGTGTAGTAATTTTAAAATACGCTTACTTCAATTTCCGGCTAATTTTGGTAAATTCCACCAGCCCAGCTTCCATGGGCAACGTGAGCTGTCCTGCGGAAATCATCAGTCTGCAGTCTTCATAGGTGTGATCTGTTACTGGAATCTCCAGAGCTCTTAAAAGTATGAAAAAGCAAACAAATTCAATTTTTTTAAAAAGGTAATGATTTTTCATGAGGCCTGAACTGGTCAACAAACAACAGTAAATGGAAAAGTATTTACTACTCTTTAAACCAGTCACTTTGGCTCATTATTGCCAAAGAGACATATTTCTCTACTTTCCAAGACTTACTGCGGCTGAGTTAATCTTGTTATGTCTGCATGCTTCTGTCAGTTGATCATTTTTGTGTTGTGTTTTAACTATAACAATAATAGTTGACTTCAGTCTCAGGGAAAGTAATGAGAAGATTCAAGTTCAGGTTCAAGTCCTAACAGAGTCTTTTACCAGCTGTGTACCTTCTGGCATTTAACCTAAGCCTCCCTTCTCTCATCTGTACATAGGAGTAATTACTCACTCCACAGGGCTATTGCAATGACAAACTCAGAATGCTGGTGGAAGTACCATTACAACAGATAAATGGCATCTGTACATATTATAAGTGAACAATTTATTCAAATCACTAGCCATCTGCATTTTTACATCTTTTAAAACCAAAGACCACCTTCCTGCTACACAGCAATCTTCTAAAAATACTGAAGAGAACTGATAATAAGCTCATATTTCTTCCAAACCTAAACATCCTCCATCCTCAAAGGAGAGCATAACCCCTTCTACCTCCCTCCTGCTCAGAGATCTAATACTAGTGAACTAGATTTGGAAAAAACATACATTAATAAGAACTTGGAAATACACTGAGTACCCAAGAAGAAAGGCTGTGCAGGACATAAAATCATTTTCGGAAGATCCCTCTCCACAAAAGTTTTGTTCACAAATATTCAGTGAAAATCATAAAATTATGTCTTCAACTACATTTGATTTTGTTGAATCATTGCTAAGAACATTAAATCTTCAATGAGTGCAAGAATAAATCACTTTTTTCTGTCTGCAACTAGGCTGCTTTTGATTAATAAATATTTTGGTGTAAGAATATATAGGAAAAAGTAAAAATTAAAAATGTTTCAGGAAAATAAAATTTAACGTAGAGCATAATAGTTAAGAGCTTGGGCTTAGGTCATAGGAAATGTGAATTTGGGTCCCAGCCCAGACCCCCTCTACCCGCTATGATCTTGGGCCAAAAACTTCCCCTTCTGAGCCTCAGTTTCCTCGCCTGCCTCATGTAGTTGCCGTGAGGATTATGTTAGCACAGCACTTGGTAAATCCTTAGTAGTAGTAGCACCACCACTATCTTACACCGACTTTACTCCTCACCATTTTCAAATGCTTTTATCATATACTTTCCTACTTGAGTCTCCGAATAACCACAACCACGAGAAAGGTAAGGAAGAATTATAATTCCCACTTTACACGAGGAAAACCAGCCTTGAAGGGGTTCGTCCAAAGGTGTGCAGCTAACTGAGGTCTCTTGTACTCTTTATCCCAGGCCCTTGGACCTCCATGCCTCTAAACTCAGAAAAAGCCTGCCAAACAAGTCTCTCCTCTGTTTCTAGGCACATTTGGGGAAGTCAAAACATCTGATATAAGTTTTCTCAGTTCCTAAGACTTATCTTCATTCCTAACTTTTGGACACAAGCTGGTATGAAAACATAAGGAAGAAATCAATATAAAAGCAAACTTTGTCGCTGGTCTAGAAACTAGATAAAACAAGCAAACCTAGGTACACAGCAACAAAATTTTTTTTGCTAAGCACTTCTTCTTTTTTGAAAATAAAGTTATTCTGCTGTAAGATATTAATATGATATATATGTGTGTATATAGGTGAATATATATTCTTGTATATATACATATATATTAATATGAATATGTGTGCATACATTTATGTGAAAAAATACATATTCTTGCCATAAAGCCAAATTCAGCTATGAAGCTAACTTCGGAGTTCTCATTGAATTTTTACTAAGAGAATAACTACTGCTGGCCTATTAGCTCCAAACCTACTACTGGGAATGACTGAGGGCGGTGGTGCCTGGGGGTGGGTGCACACCTGGAGGGCGCTGGGGCTGACTGGGTGGTGGGAAAGTACAACACACACTCCTTCACTACAGGACGAGAAGTGATTTATCTAATTAGATGAGTAGCCAGTTAAAACTCCCTTAAATGTAGGAAAATACTTGCCTATGTTTTGTAGTTTCTAAATCCTAAATTGATAGCCATCCGTTAATGGGGATGATTTTTTCTTTTTTCTTTTTTTTTTTTTTTTTTTGCTGAGGAAGATTTACCCCAAGCTAACATCTGCTGCCAATCTTTCCCTTTTTTTGCTTGAGGAAGATTAGCCCTGAGCTAACAGTTGCGCCAGTCTTCCTCTAATTCGTACGTGGGTCACTGCCACAGCATGGCTGATGAGTGGTGTATGTCCGTGCCTGGGATCCAAACCTGCGAACCCAGGCCACCGAAGCAGAGCGCATGAACTTAACCACCACGCCACAGGACTGGCCCAACTTTTTCCTTTTTCTATGCATCTATTGCATTTCCTTGCAAACTTTCTCCTTTCTGGTGCTATAATCATTAACGCCTTTGAAACACCCAGCCTTGGCAGCTACATGGAGGCTGAGGGGATAGTAGGCAGCCAAGGCAAAAAGCAGCCAGACCATCACGAGGCTCTGTCTGACAGCGATGGGCTAGCTTGGGAGAATCCACCCTGCGGAAGGCACTGGCTGCTCTCTTCAGATTACTGTACCTTCCCTGACCCTCTTCCGGCAAAGACACATTTCCATTAGTTTGGGGTTGCAGCTGGGGAAAATATTTACAGATTGTCTTACTGACGCGATTCCTGGGCACATTATTTTACTTACCAAAATGACTTGGGGAATGAGGGCCTCAGGAAAAAAACAAACAAACAAAATCGTAAAACTATGTTAAATGTCATTTACCAACCATGTTCAAACTATTTACTGATTATAATGACGTATAGACACTTACTTTGCCATTAAATTCCGGATTCTATTGGCAAAAACGACAGGATCATTTTTTTCTTCATCATTTGGTACTTGAACAGGCAGAAACTGAAAGACAAATATACCTTTCCATTACAATCGTTAAGTCTAAGACATTAAATGCTAAAAATATTAATTTATAACCTCTGTATCATTATATTAACCCCCTGCCTTCCTAGTGCGTAGGTTATATGATGCCAGGAAAGGAACGCTGTGCGTGGACTCAGAAAACTACATCCAAGCCCCGGGTCTGTCTGTGTGTTAACTGGTATGTCTTTGGACTTCTCTGAACTGTCTCAGCTCTAAAAAGAGGGCTAGGATCCTACTGTTCTAACCACGAACTACTATCCCACAAATCATGTAGGGAACTGGATTTAACAGTTTGGGATAGTCGGTGCAAAAATCCTAGGGTACGTGTCTGCAGAATGAGTTAAAAAGAACTGACTATGTTGTCCAATGTATCATTTAAAAATAAACATGACAACTGCTAAAAAAGTAAAAAATAAATTAAAAAAAAAATTGAGTACCTCATTAAAAAAACAAGAGGGCTATGATCAGCTACTTCCCTGGTTGTTGTGAGGGTGAAATGAGCCAACGTCTGGAATTCTGGAAGCTGTAGTAACTAAGATCTTATTCTCAGAGCTGCATTTTCTACCCCTCTCACTTCTTTGTGTGAAAATGTTATTATTTTTTCTTTTATAGCTTATCTTCTCCATCCATTACCATATCAGCCATACTTTTATCATTTGATCAAACTTCGTTTTGTCATGTCTTCTGCTTTTTTTTTAAAACCCTTCGTAATGGCATTCTAGCTTTTGCTTAACACCACGTTTTGCGTTATCATTTAAAATTTTACTTTTCTCTCCAGTTGGTATTCTGTGATGCCTCATTTGTACTGACCTTGTTTTTATTTATGTTTTTCTATGAATAAAGTTGGGGTGCCATACTGAAGTCAGTACATATTTTTTTGAGCACCTACTCTACACCAGGCAAGATTAACAGGACCCTATTCCTGCTCTAAAGGAGATCCAGGTAGGTTTCATAGGACAGACAACACAGCACACACTGAGTATCATTACCCTTATTACCCCAAATTATAGGAGGGCTCAAAGGCTTCATTAACTTAAAGTCATACAGGTCACAGTCACAGCCCACACTCTATCAGATTCTAAATTCTTGTTTTCCCTACTCAACCATCCTTCCTGGAGTATGAAAGCGAGGAAATAACTAATTTGTCCAGGGGGCAGAGACGAGCAGCCAAAGAGGCTTTACAGAAGACCTAAGACTTTTTCTTGGCTTTTTAAGGATAAACATGATTTCACCAATAGCCGCTGTTCGTTGAATTATAACTATGAAGCAGGCACCATGCCAGATGCTCTACAGGCATTATTTTATTTCATTAATCCTCCCAATTTAGTCATAAGGAATTGTGGTTCACAAAGATGAAATCACTGGCTCAAGATTCATGGCTCATTTTCATTCAACAAGTACTGTTTAGGCACCTACTATGTGCCAGGCACCACACTGAGCCCTGAAGATGTGACCATGAAGTCCCTGCCCTCAAGGAGCTCCCTATGCGGTGAGGTAGAAATTTATGATACAATGAGCTCGGTCTACCAATAGGAGATATCACTCATTAAGCACCTACTGTGTACTGGGTACTTTATATGATTAACTCTCAACAATTCCTTGAGACAAGTTCTACCATTTCAATTTGGTAAGTGAAGAATGTGGCTAGAAGGGAATAAACAATATAGCAAAGGCCACACACCAGTGGCAGGGCCACAGTTCGAAAGAAAAAGAAAGATTTGTATAAATACCACCACTTCTGGACTCACGTGGACCTGTTTTCAAACCTTGTTAATCATGTTAAGAAGCCTACTGGCAACGGTGACTTAGAGATAAAGTTTGAGCAAGTGGGTGACGTGACCAGGTCCAAGTTTTTGAGCAGTAACTTCCCTGGTAGGGAGTGGACAGACCCAAGAAGAAGAGGCTAAGAGCAGGGAGAGGCCCTGGAGGCTACTGCAGTCACCCTGTGAGAGATGGTCAGACCATGAGTAGAGGGGGTGAGGACGTGGAGGACAGCATGGATGCACGTGGCATTTTTAGGGTAAAATGGATGGGAATTATAGGATAACGTGCTATACGTCATTTTACTTTCCACATTTATTTAACATCCTTTCCAAGGCGGCAGTGGCATATGCTACAGAAAGAGCACTCAGCCTGGGTTGTTGCCTCTGTTCTGCTGTGTGGTCCTGGTAAAGTCATTTACAGCCTTTATGGACCTCAGTTCCCTCTCCTGTCAAATTAAAACGTTTGACTAGATGATCTCTAAGGTCCTTTCCAACTGGAATTCTATGTCTAGCTTTCCATTTCGTATCCAGTTATTCTTTAAGATGGAAAAATAAACTAGGCCACCAGAGGTCCCCACATCACTTATATATCCACGGCAACAAGCTAGTTTTGCATATGAATATTTCTAAAAAGTCTCTCCATTCTGTTCTAGTAAAATCTCTTTTATTTGCTTAGTATGAAATCCAAGGAAGAAAATAGGTTCATAAAACCTCTAAGAAAATAATATAATAAAGTTTTAAATTGCCATATCATTCTACATTTTTAAAAGAAGTCAAATGATCATTTATAATACACTTGATTTGCAGGTCATAAAAGCACATACTGAAAACCCTGAAAAATAAATGGCTGCTACACTGTCAACCAAACATAATTCAATGAACTATGGATTTGGTTCCTTTTAGTGCAAGTAATATTTTCCATAAAAAAGATTTTTAATAACTTTTGTATCGGCATGGTATTTTACTCTTGAGGAAAAAAATTCCACTGAGGGCACAAAATAATTAAAAGCCTAGATTTGACACCCATGGGCCTTGGAGGCCCATAGGCCTCCTGGGAAGCAATTCAACGGAAATTCTAATAAAAAGTGACCTCTCCTTGGATAAGACCTTGCCCTATATAATACAATTCCATTTTGTATGAAGTCATTCAAGGCTCACAGCATGAACACACCCTTTATTGGGGAAGGAAGATCAACCAAAGAGAGGGGAATACGATTGCCATTATCTATTACTGTCCCCTAATGCATCTGAATTCCACAGTGACTTCAGAACCCCATGTTTTCCTTCCCACCCTCATCTTCTCTCATGATCCCCTGTATCCACACTGATGACGCATCTGACATCTTGATTTCACACTCCCTTTATCAGCCCACAGATAGTCTTCTCAACTCCAGCTCGGTCATGGAAACAAACACGACTCTAACCTCCTCCTCTGACAAGTTCTTCCGTCAGCGTTTCCCCTCATTATCTATGAGTGTTTACTTCTCTCCTAACCTGGTCTTGCATAAACTGCAAGAACCTGATGGTCACTCCCAGGACCTATTGGTCCCTCTTTATCCACTCCCTCCTGGCAACCTCTGGCTGACTCTCCCCACTGGACTTTGGGAGTCAGACAATTTCATACGGCCTGTCACCTAGAACCTTTACCTTCTGCCACCTCCATGGTGCCGATCCCAAACCGTCGGTCACCTCTCCTCATCCTGCCTTCCCACTCCTGTTAGAGACCACTGAGGGACGCTGAACAAAGGTACAAAACATTATTGGTTGAGGCTGCTACAAATTCATATTCACTTCCTGAGGGTTCCTCATAGCTGCTTGAAAATTACCTTATTTCCCAAGGTGACCATACTGCCTCCAAACATAGTTTTTTGTTTGTCTTATTTTTGCCAAAGATCTTCCTTTATCTTTTTAAATTGTGCAGGTGTGCCAAAATATGTGATCTTAATACCGAGTCTATTTCCTTATTGTCTACGTGATGGGAGAGGATCAAGTTCCTTAAATGGAACCTCACTGCTGCTTGGCAGCCCTTTTATATCCTTTTTGACCTGCTGGCATCATATTTTACTGTTTCAAACATGATCCATGCTTCTCAGGTTGCAATTCTACTTCCATCTCAGTGGCACTTCACTTTCAACTTTAGAGAGGAGACAGAAGGGGTTCAGGACAAGCCACCCCAAATTACACCACTTTGGTAAATGGATTATTTTGAACTGAAGGCGCTTGAAGAATAGCAAATGCAGGGAGAGGCTTTCTCTAAACTCCCTTTATCTGCCTAAAGTCAGATCCTCCAAAAGGAACTCAATTATCATAAACCCCTTCCTGGGGAGTTGCCTCAAACAGAGAAGACTGACTCTTATCAGAGGAGAGGAGACGAGGAGTCAACATCACACCCAGACAAACTTTATCACCCCCTATCATATCTCCCATCTGTTCTTGTAAGGGCCCACTCATCTTTCCTAAAAATCATTTACTCTCCCCTAAGTGGCCTATATCCTCCCTCCCTTCCCCTATTAAGATGGTAGACATCAGTCTTAGCAACATATTTTCAACGACCATGTCTGACAGGGCAAGGGAAACAA